TCGCTGAAACCGAGCCGCTCAACGTAGTTGAGGTTGCAATGCGCTACCGTAACAGAGTCGAAGCTGTTGTAGGTAAAAGCTACACGAAAAGACTACGGTATGTGCTCTGTGTTGGAAATCTATTTCCATGCTCCTCAAATACTTTTGTCAAAATCTTCTTTTATTCAGGCACAAGTTCTCGCGAGGATCACTTGCCAAACGCTCATTCAGATATCTAGTGAAACCAAAGGTGTACACAGTGTCTTAAGGTTGATTCTTGTAATGAATGTGCCTACCTCTACTTCTAATAATTTTGTTGTTGTTAGTGATGAAATATGTCCAATACTTGATGTAAATTGGAGACTGTATTCATAGGATAGCCTAATCTGTTATTGTTATTACAAAAGCTATTGATCTGCTCGCCTTAATTTATGAACTGCTCAATAAAATGTATAGTGATGAATTCATGTACTTTATGTGTCGTACCAACTCGAAAAAGTATCGAAATTCATGAAGTGGATCGAATTCTTGAGAGAAAGCAAAAGAATGTATGGCATGAGGCGCTTTTATATTGCAGGATCGTTTTATATAGCCAAGTGTTTAATCCTCAGTTTTGAGGTGTTAAAAGTGTTGATGAAAGATTAGACTGGCCCATTGTCGTGAACCTACATAACGGTATTTATGGTCTTAGATGAAATCAGATTCATGCTAAACTGAAGAAGAGATTGATTGCCGCAAATGGGTTTTCCCATCTCTAGTTACGCAACTCTAGTCGCTAGAGCATGATGGGCGGGAAAAGATTACTGTGAACTAGGTTTTGCCATGTGTTCAAAGATGAGCAAACTGTTATTTAACAATCTGTTATGCCTTGGGCTTTCTTTTTTAGCGACACTGTTGACATTAAGTGATCGGTGGTAATGCGTCTTTTGTAGAACATGTCAGAAGACGGATATGACTCTTTTGACGATGATGTTGTGATGACAAATCCTAGCTCATTAGAATGTCCGGATAACTCGGATACTTCACTTCCAGCCACACCTCCGCCAGGTATGGATGAGTTGGTTGTTTTTGTTAGTAGCATTATTATCTGCCGAATTCATTCATAAGCAAGCACCATTTCTTTGGATGTTTGATTTGAAAATATGAGTAACATCATAATGAGCGAGGCGAATGAC